TTTGCACCTTTGCACCCAAAATTTTCATTCTCATATATATGTATATATATATATATATATATATATATATATATATATATATTCGCATACACTAAAGCATAGAGCTGCTGTTCATGCACAGTAATCTGACTGTTGTCTACACAGTTTAGTCCTTGTGAAAATAAGTGTACTTAATTGTATTGAATTAAATATGCACTTGTAGTCTACTTAAAAGTATATTTTAAGAAATGTTTTGCTTACATAACAACACTTCTAAATAAAAGAATGCTTAAGTGTACTTAAAGAGAGTGCACTTTCTTGACTGTTTTTAAGTCACTTAAGCACACTTTTAAAAAGTGCACTTTGTAAAATATCAAATTAAGTGAATAAGTTAATAAGTTTAACCTTATCATCGTTATAATTGTGTGTATGACTTAAGGGTTTTAATAGAAATGAAATGATAGCCTATGTAAATATGTACTAAAATCCTACTTCAGTGGTTCAAAAAACACTATAATTTAGCTAATTGCATTACATAAATTTAAACGTTAATACATTTCCATTTAATTGCAATTAACATGCAATTAACCTTTTTAAAAATATTACATTTAGTTTGTACTTAAGTTTAGTCTTTTATTATTTTCACAATATGTACACTGTTAAAAAGTAGGCTAAAGTGTACTTCTTTTTTACAAGGTGGATATTAAAGAGATTTGTGACTCTTTGATATCTGTGATTTTTACTTCCATATGATGCAGGAAGCAGATACTGCAGAGAAACATGAGCAGCTACCCTGTGGAATGAGAGGGAACTGTGATTAAGTGGAGTCAACCATGTTAGGCAAAGTGCTCAACGCTTCGCTCATCATAATGTGAAGTGATGAACTTACTGCTCCGATGAGCTCAACTACACTGCTTCAGTGCTAAACTCATGTGGAAGACTCAAGGAACTTAGCTCATTTAAATAAAGATTTAAATACAGAACCCTCTTCAGCCTCCCCCCCAAAATAAAACCCTCCTAGAGTGTTTTTATTAGAAGTGTCTTATTCAGTCCGTGACTTTTCCAGGATTTTTTCATCTGCCTCTGCAAGCCAATCACTTTGAGGCGTCATTTAACATCTCATAGTGATGTTTCATTTACTTTACCGAGCATGAGATGATGGCTCTGGAAAAAGGAGCAAATTGGCATTAGATGTCTGAAATATGAAATGCATCTGTATTTATACACTTACAGATCTTTTTACCCAGTTATTAGTACACTATCATTTAAAAGTTTGGGGTCAGTCATTTTTTTTTTAGTAATGATGCTGAAAATTTAGATTTGCATCACAGGAATAAAGTACATTTTAACATATATTAAAATAGAAAACAGTTATTTTAAACTGAAAGAATATTCCACAATATTACTGTTTTTACTGTATTTTTTCAAATTAATACAGCTTTGGTTAGCATTGCAGACTTCTCTCAAATATATTAACAAATCCTACAGACCCCAGTTTTGTTTTGTTTTGTTTCATTTTGTTTTGTTTCAAATCAATCCACCAGTTAATCAAACCAACATTGTAACAAAGTAGATTCAAACTGTTTTTTTTAAGTAAATACATACGTAGTTATTATTATAATGAGTCTAGTTTAAATCAAAAGATTTTCACTAATTAACCAGTACATTTTCATTTGTGCCAATATAACAATCCAGCAGGAAACAGCAATATTTATCCAAAAGGCAAATATTTTTACATATAAAAAGGGATTTTAATACATTAAAGGGGTCATATGATGCAATTTCATTTTTTCCTTTCTCTTTGGAGTGTTACAAGCTCTTGGTGCATAAAGAATATCTGTAAATTTGCAAAAACTAAAGTCTCAAATCCAAAGAGATATTCTTTATAAAAGTTAAGAGTCAGCCACACCTACCTAAAACGGCTCGTTCGAACACGCCCCCACATATCTACCTCACTATGTGGGAAGATTAGCATTACGCCACCCAAATGTTCACGCAAAGAAAGAAGGCATAACTTTTATTCTCACTGTAGTATTGTTGCCGCCGCCACCATGTCGTGAAGACGCTGTGTGCTTCGTTGTGAAAGCGAAACTACTTTGTTTGGTCTTCCAAAAGCGGACGATATCCGCTTCGTCATGCCTAGAGCTGATCCGTGCTGGTCACTGAGGAAATACATCAACTTAGTGCTGTGGATCTCCGGCACATTTTATGGAGGACTGTTTTCTGATCCTAGGAGAGTAACGTTAGACTAAAATGCCGGCAGTTCTGACTCACGTAAGTACGTTTTCATTTAAAGGATTTGCCACAGATGATTCAAACGTGAGTTTTGGGCAGTGTGGAGTAGCACTTGTTGTTTGTCATTTCTCCGATCACAAATGCAGGTATGGTTTTATGTTTACGCGGTGCGATGCAATGCAAACGACAGTATAAATCATTATAATCAGTAATTATGTCCCCACTGGATGCAACAAATGTCTCGTTTATAATGGGTTTTAATGTTTTTGTCTCGTCGCTCCGGCCGGACATGGCATCAACACAATATGGGGAGGGACGTAACATTTCCGTCAAATGCTTGAGGTATTCGGCCAATCACAACGCACTGGATAGCTGGCCAATCAGAGCACACCTCGCTTTTTCAGACCGATGAGCTTTGTAAAAATCGACGCGTTTCAGAAGGCGGTGCATAGAGGAGAAACAATAATGTACAGTATGTGGAAAATAATGTGTTTTTTTAACTTTAAACCACATAAACACATTTCATTACACTAAATACACTAAATAATGTTCTTTTTAGCAGCATCATATGACCCCTTTAAAATGCTATACGGGGGCTATATTGAGTAAAATAAATTAATTGATGAATCTTGAGTTACGAATCGGATAGTGTGAACTGATTGATAAAAATAAACACATTTATCTTGTTTAATTTTGTATGTCACCTGGAAGATAATAATTAAATCATAAATAGTTAACTTAAAATACACCCAAACTTAATGCAGAGTAATTTCACTTGTATGCCATGACTACTTTTCAGCACCATCAGTTTCATTTACAGAGATTTGAGGGCAAAATGTGCCCTTGTTTTTTTTTTACCTCTAAAGAGCCACTTATTGAACTTAGAATTGAAACTCTGAGCATGGAAGGAAATAATTAACCATTTAAAGAACATGAACATGAACATGAACAACATGAAATTAAAATAGACCGTATTTACTATTAAATACACATGATCTTATTGTGCATGATTCCTCAGTGCAAATAATTACAGTTGTCTTCAATTAATCAAAATTCAATAACTGCCTCTAAAGCGCATAGATCACACAAATGGAGAAATTAAATGTTAGCCTACAGGCAAACAGCTTTAGGCATTGTTATTGGTATTTCAACATTTCAAAAGCCTTGCCAATATAACAAAGTGAGTGCTATTTCATATACTCACTTTATCCATTTGCACAATAAGTACTTAACACTTTCTGTTTATGGCATGCAGTTCTTAATAAGAAGATGAAACTTCATTGCAAACCAAAATGTATTGTAATTGTTCAGATTCTTCTGATTTCTCTCTGTTTTCAGGGATACCACGGTACCTCAGTCAGCCGGAAGCCGCGTCGGTGCGGCTGGGTGACAGTCACATGCTGAACTGTGAGGTGAATCCAGACCTGGTGTCTTTCATCCGCTGGGAACAAAACAAAGAGCTGGTTGAGCTGGACCAGAGAGTCTTCACGCTGCCCAGTGGTGCTCTCGTCATCAGTAATGCCACAGAGGCAGATGCAGGCCTGTACCGCTGCGTGATCGACAACGCTGGGCCCACCAAGACCAGTGAAGAAGCAGAAATACAGATACTGCCTGGTAAATAATCCATACTTCCATACATATTCCAATTCCATACTTAGAATTGTATCATCAGACCATAAAGTTGCAAATTAAATTGTCCATGTCTTTTTTTTTGACATTTTTACCAGTGTTAAAAGCTTTATCTGCTATCTAATATTTAGACTGATTTACTGACTGACCTTTAAACAACATTTTGATAACAGAATAATAGTAAATTCATCCAAATTATCCCAGCTAACAAAAATATGTTCTTAATGTTCTGCTAACTCTTATAGAGTTTAGTGTACTACTACAGTAAAATGTAAATGTTAAAGTAAAGTCTTATCTATTTTTTTTATTCCAATGTTTAATGCACTTAGGAACTTTTATACTCTGGAAAAATGTGTTTTAACAGTTTTTAGTTCTTAAAAATGTTGATTTGAAATCCCATACAGTATATATTTTGAAAATATTTACATGTATATACATGTATATATTTATAGTCTTATATTATATATTAATATATTTAATATATTAACACATTTTTCTTTAATATTTACATGCATATGTTTGTAATTATAATAAAGATACACAGTACACACATATTATGTAAACAAAAACTTTTATTCACGATCGCGCTTAATCATTTGACAGCACTAATCAAAAGTTTTTTTATTATTATTATTATTTCATTACAAACATAAATTCAGTCATGTATGTCCAAAACAGCATTTTTTTTCCCTAAAAAGGTTTTATAAGGAAAAAGCCAATTCCCCTGCATTCCTGACAATAAAAATGCAAGACATTGATTCTGATTAAGTAATTGTTCATTCACTACAGAAACTCACACAATTGAGGGGAGAGGGAGTTTTAAAGGAGGCCTTCTCCAGAAGGACGTCCACATGTGGTGTTATCAAAGAGAACAATGTAATTTATGCTGAAGTTAAAGAGGACTGAGCTCATTTGTGGCAGATATTCACCATGCAGATTTATTTTTACAGGCTGTCATGAGCACAGAGTGAGATATTAAAGAACATAAATCAGGCCTGAAGCACCGTCGCCTTTTCACTCACTGAGGTAGATAAATAAATAATGAGTATTAAAGAGAAAGCTTTTTAAAAGCTTCAACCTAAAAGATATATACTGCAACTGTTACAATATAAATAATGTAAGTGTAAAGTCCACGAATTGGTTTCCTGCGTGTTTGGCCAAAGTTATTAAATTTAGGTTCAATTAAAATCTGACTCCATTTTATTGTCTAATTTTATTGTCTAAATCTTACACAAGTAAGCCATTTGTAGAAATTTTTCCAATCATTACTATTTGTTATACCAGTGACAGCTGAAAACCTGTGTTAGGAAACCTGTTTCAGTATGTTTTTCATTCAATTTTTTTGCAACTAAAATTACGCACTTAGAGAAATCATTAGGGGAACATTCTATTTATCATTTTTCAAAATATTATGGTAACGTTACTTTTAAATGTTATTAAAACTTTTAAACCTTATTAAAAACACAATTTGTTGCGACTAGTGGCACAAAAATGATGCACGTCACTTTTAATTTGTAGGGCTAAATGGTCAACAAGTCCACACTTTCCTGATGGAAAATCTCCATTATCTTGTTGTATAGCTTCATTATCTCTATCAGTATTTTTCTTGTTTTCCAGTATAATTCCAAATGTTTTAACTTGGGTAAAATATATTCAAGTAAAATTCTGGAAACTGCATAATAACAGTAGTCTTAAGTGAATATAAACCGATTTTTTCTTAT